AAATAAGACTTTTCTAAAGTGTGCCCCCACTGGCCATTTTAATGGAACCTTCTTTCCCCACTTAGATCTCAGGGCAGGTGACTTTTTGAAGTCGGCTTGCATCCCAAACATAGCATCTGGGTCCCCCTGTGGCATCCTGTGGAGCTTTTCATAAAACCACCTCTGCCTCCCACTGTTAGTGTAGAGGCCACTTCTTGCCATGAGCCGATTAAGAAGTATCCAGCGGGTGCTTTTAACCTCCGGTCAACAGCTTCCAACCCTCAGCCTTCTCTGAACTCATTCAAATTTCACAGACCCTGCCTTTTCCTCTGGTTGGCTCCCCAGCGATCTTCTCCTTGACCAGCATTTTCAGTGTCTGTTCCTGGCCACCAGGAGCAGCAACTACCCAGAAACCTACCAAAAGCGATTAAAGGCATCTCTTCCTTGGCTTGGTGCATGTTTGTTGAGTGTCTGCCAGGCAATTCGGGTGGCCAGAAATTGTCTCTTACCACAAGGCTCACCAGGGGAAGGAGGGGAGGACAGATCCACACAGGGTGGTGTGGTGCTTACAGGGCCGTGGGCAGGGCGCCCCTGCTGGCTACTCGGATCTCCAGTTACTTTACAGAACCTTTCAGGTTTATCAGCACCCCGCCCTGCCCCTGTGTTCCATTCCCCACCCCTGAAGCTGTTCCTGTGTGTGGCAAGACTGAGCACAGACCCACAACAGCATAGCATAGCCCAGGGAATAGCTCCTAGTGCTTTTTAAAGGAACTCTCCAGAAATGTAGCAGTGTAGAGGCCACTCCCTTCTGGCCGGGTCCGGACCTCAGAATCAAGGGATGTGGCAGAAAGTCCAAAGCGTTTTTTTTTTTTAAAGAATCTCCCACAGCACCCCCCACCCCACCGCCAGTACATAGGACACCCGTTTAGTTTTTCCACGTGGAAAATCCACGAGCTGACCTCTAACGATAGTCATTCAAAATGTCTCCGATGTTGCAGATTCTTGCAAGTAGCTTTCCAGCTGCTGGGTCCCCCTCTCCTCCTCCAGATGTTCTCCCTCTTGGCCAATTACTGCTTCATCCAGGTCCCCGGGAGCACATCGTGCACAGCTGTGGCCACTTCCTCTTGTCCCATCTCAGCCCGTCCCCAACTCTTGTCTGCTCTTCTCCCCTGGAAACTGAGTAACAGAAGCCTCCCCACTCGGAACACCCCCAGGCCCCCGCTGAGCTCCTTCCACTCTGAGCTAGGGCGAGTGCACTCAGAGCAGAGCCACGCGGGCTGGGGTGACACCTCTTGTCCTGCTTTTATCCTTGACCCGTAAAGAGAGACTGTGCGCTTGCCAACATCGGTGAGAGAACAGATTGAGTTAGACATTCAGTTGGGTTTTCTCTGTTAGGAGTTCATTCCCAGAGTCTGAGGGGTATCTGGAGGCTGAAAACAAAGCATCCCATCAGACAAGATAAGGAACGCCTTGAAGCCATGGGGTGGTGGTGGTGTTTTCCTTCCTAGCACTTGACGTGGTGCTGGGCGCAGGGAAAATACTCAAGAAAGGCAGCGTGCATTTCGGAGCCAGGATCCTGGGGGCAGATAGAGCAGGGCTTCTTCCCAGCCTTGGTACTCGTGAACTGTGTGACATTGGGTAACACGCTTGCTGGCTTGGATGTCCTTTTGGCGGTATGAGGGCTCATTCAATCATTTGACAAATATTCATCAAAGGCCTAGAGTAGCGTTGGCAAACACGAACAAAAAATAGATGATTTTGGATAAACGTGGGGGTAGAGCTGACAGGACCCGTCGAAGGCAGTGCATGGCCATTTTGGTTGGCAGTTGAACGTTGGGAGAAAGAGAATTCACAGTGGTAGAGAATCCACAGAGGAGAGGAGAGGCCCAAGCTGAGCCCAGGGTGCAGCCCACCTCCAGAAGTCAGGCAGAGAGTGAAACTGAGCAAGGGGATGGGAGGAGGGCATGGCGGAGGGCATGGCACGGTACAAGTGGCCATTGGACAGAGATGCCCACCGAGTCTTGGAGGCTCATTTACCGCCGTGTATTCAACACACACCAAGAAGGACGTGGAAAACGTTCAATAAAAGAACTTCACGGGGAGCCTACATTTCAGTGGGATTTTTGTTAGCCTAGGAAGTTTTCAGTAGGACAAGTTTCCATGTGGAAACTGCTTCCAGCTCAAGACTGCCAGGCCACCAGGCGTTCACACCATTCCTGAGACGTGACTGGTTTTGCAAGAAGCCTCCCAGACCCCATGAGCAAGGGTCTCATGCACACCATCTACCGTCTTCACTTCTCCAGTAGGTCTGCCTCCCTCAGCCGCTAGTAAACTTTCTAAGCGAAAAACAACAACCGCCCGCCCCCACAGCCATGGTCGACAGTGGGTGGCCAAGACCCTTGTACTTCGACGGGGGTGTCCACAGTGTTAGTGACACCTCCCAAGCCTTAGTGTCTTCTGCGCTGACAGGCGGCTTTCGCTTGAGTGAAGAGGCTGAATCCACATATTTTGGATTTGGAGATCAGCTTTCGTAGCGGGGGTCAGAGATTCTGACCTAACATGTGCTCCTGTGGCCCCAGGCCTCCAATTTCATTCCCATTTTCTGTGCTCATGGATGAAGAAGAGGCTTCTTGAAATGGCACAAAGTCTTGGGAAAATCTCACTGGTTCAGATTTTTTTCTCTCTTTTTGCCCTTCTTTGTGTAGACGTCTCCAGTACAGCCCGCATAGACCAGTGACTTGGGAGAACTGAGGTTGTTTTTACACAAGAGTTCACTTTTCCAGCTGTGTGGCTTGGCAACACGTGTCATCACATGATGTGGTCCAGCAACAGGCATTACTTACCTCACGTGCCAGCCTCTGGTGACAGGCCATCGGGCTGTCACCAGACCAGTGAGGCCTGAAATTTCTCACCAGGTCCCCTGCTCAGACTGGCTGTTTGTCGTTCGCACCACTTGCAGACAAGCATGACTCTTAGGGCCCCTCTGCCACCACTGTCCCCAGGTGTCCTTGCACCCTTCTCAAGAAGCAAAGCTTGTGGGGAACATAAAATAGAAGATGAGTGATTGGTGACAGGTGACCACAAAGAAAGGCAACACCACCTTGCCTGACTTTGGTCAGTTTACTTACATGGTCACACCTGATGTGCGCCTCTCTGTGTGTGTTTTTAAAACGTTAAGCGTCTGACTTTGGCTCAGGTCCTGTGGGTTTGTGGGTTTGAGCCCTGCATCGGGCTCTGTGCCTACAGCTCAGATTCTGTGCTTTGCGTTCTGTGTCTCCCCCCTCTCTCTGCCCCTCCCCCCTCAAAAAAAATGGATCCACGTTAAAATAAATAAATAAATAAATAAATAAATAAATAAATAAATAAATAAAACACACATAGGGATTTAAAATATGAAAACTGAATAGAAGTTAAGCTTGGGAAAGACGCCGTGTAAAAAGCTAACTCATCCCCCCTGGTGTTTTCGGCCCCCCTGGCAGCAGGCGGTCAGATCAGGGTGTGTTAGGAGGGCACTCTGGATGGTCCTTTGGACGGAAAACCATCCGAGGAGTAGAGAAAAGAGAAGCACTTGGCCATTACTTGCAGGGGGAAGGATGAGTCACAACCTCATTTCAGACGTTGTGTGAAATTCCCGAGGCGAGAAGACGCGTGTCTGTACGTAGGGAACCGGGGGTGACGGTGCGGAAGTGCCCAGTCCCAGCACTTGGGCACTTGTGGGGTGCCCTCGGGTTCTAGCTCTACTGATTCTGAGCTGTGTGGCCCCACACGAGCAGCCGTCCCTCTCTCTGGGCCTCCGTTGGCTCCCCTGTAAATTAGGGCAGCATCATTTTCCTCCTAAAATGGCTCAAGGCCAGAGGTATCAAGGTATGTGACTTCTCTTAACAAACCTCAAAACACTGTGTGCTTTGTAGAAAGGCTTTCCCAGACATTACTTAACCCCACAAGGACTCTATGAAAGCATCTCCGTTTCACAGGTAACTTAGCCGAGAACTGTGGGCTGAAAGACACAGTGTCTTACCTTGCGCGTGAAGACCACGGTTTTTAAAATACCAATTTTCCTGTAACTATTGAAAGAGTGGAGGCATTTCCTTGGGAGACCGTTGTCATGGGAGGAGAGAACAAGAGACAATCCCTCTGTCCTGGGACAGGCCCCCTGGACAGGGACCTCCGTCTACAGCCGCTGACGAGAGACGTGTCACTCAGTACCACATGTGCGTGCCCACACGCAAGCACGCACGCAAACACGTGACGAGAGAGGTGCTCACTCGGTCCCACGCACAGACACACACGTGTGCACGCACACACATGTGCGCGAGCGAGGGGCCGAGCCCAGGCCCTGCCCAGCCCAGCACTTAACAACCATCCTGAGGGAAGGCTGTTCTGTGAACCTAAAAAGCCCGTTGGTACAAAACAGGGAAATCGTCCCTTTTCTAATTGTCACGAGAACTTGAGCGCCTGTTTCTTCAAGTTGTTGTGTGAGAAGGATGCATGTTCCTTGTGCTTTCAAACCAGCGAAGTTCCGTTGAAAGAATGATTCTGTGCTTCAGCTGTCTGCATGTTAAGCATTTCTCTGAGCAGTGGATTTGGAAATGCACAGTGTGGTAGGGTTTTGAACAACACAGGCTGGAACTCCGTGGGGCTGCTTATACGTGGGTATTTCCCCATAAACACAGCACAGCACCGTGAATGTATTTTCTTTTCCTTCTGATTTTCTGTATGAAATTTTCTTTCCGCTAGCTCACTTTATTGTACGAATACAGCATATAGTACATAGAACGTATAAAATATGTGTTAATCAACTGTGTAGGTGATCGTTAAGGCTTCCAGTCGACCGTGGGCTATTACAGTTAAGTTTCTGGGGGGTCAGAGTTAGATGGGGTTTTCGGCCGTGTGCCCCCACACCGTTCAAGGACGAACTGCGTCGTCAGAGTATTGGGTAGCAGGGAGAGTTTCCGTCAAGTAAAAAGACATTTTATTAACTGATTTCCGTTTTTTTTTTTTTTTTCTGCCTCTCATTTCAGAACGGTTTGATCACCACTGTCCCTGGGTAGGCAACTGTGTGGGGAAAAGAAACTACAGATTTTTTTATATGTTTATTTTATCTCTGTCTTTTCTGACAGTCTTTATACTTGCATTCGTTATCACCCACGTCATTCTTCGTAAGTATGCTGGCGAAATCAGATTACGTATGTAACCATTTGCCTGACTTTGGTTTTCGGATTTAATTTTGATTTAATATTTTGATCATTTCGGGCTTTCTCTTTCTTCTCTTTCCCCTCTTCCTGGACCTCTCCTCGCTTCCAGCTGCCCCCTTTTGTGTTTCTCCCCTTTCTCCTCCCCTGCCCTCCCCTCCCTTCCTCCTCCCCTGGCACCCCTCCCTCCCTGTCACCCTCCTTGGCCTCCCCGGCTGCCCTTCTCCCTGCCCTCTCTCCCTTGTTCCTTCTACTCCCCATTCCTGATCCTTCCGGCCACAGCTGCCTGAACGCCCCAGATCAGGCTGTCTTTCACTTACAAGACTTTTTCCTTGATACACTTGCCCCTGCTGCAACCTCAGTGACCTCACTTTCTCTTTTGCTAAGGGATTCCCTGAAAGAATCATTCCCACATTTTGCACAAAGGATAATGGGCTGCAATGATAACCATCAAATAGTTTTGTTTGTTTTTAACATTAACATGATACTGGCTTAAGTGAGAACAGTCACCATCCCTAGAAAACAATGTCTGAGGCTGAAGACTGGGTTTTCTAACACACACACACACACACATACACACACACACACACATTAAAAATATACAATTGAAAAGATTTTCAATTACCTGCTAAACATTAGTAAATCCCTGGCAACATTATTAAAGGAAGGAAGCAACATTATTAAAACTGAGATTGGGATATTAATGATTTTAATGTGTATTTGCCTAAGCAAATGACGTTTCTTATTTCCCATTCTGAAGGTCATGACTTTGAATTTCTTTGCCCTCTTGGTTATCCACTTTCCAACAATAGGGAGTGATGGGAAGGAAGTTAATTGGCTTTGAACTATAAACTTAAGCCTTTAACTTCCATTACAGTGCCCATTAGCAACATGAGAGACCAGCGTTGCCTCTGGTCCACATTCCTGAAGTACAGCCATCCATTAGCAAGTACAAAGCTTCCTCCTGCAATGTGTCCCTCACTGTCTGAACACAAGCCCACTTTCTTCCCCGGGCAGCAGCACTGATACCACAGATGGCATGTGCCCAGGCTGAAGTTAGAAGTGCATATTCCCTGCCGCTCTTTGGGTTGGGTTTGGTGCAGCCCAAGATAGGGAGGGCATAGAAAATTTCGCATGGAAACATCGGTCATGATTGGACCTTACGTGGAATCTCCTAAGTTTTCATGGCATTTTAAAACGTAGGTCCCGTTCTTTTTGGCTGAAATCCCTTCATCTGAATGTGACGCAAGTTTGTAATCTATGCTTGAGAGCCATAACTTGGGTGGGATCCCAAGAAGAGAATTAAGGTTTATTAGAGGCCTTTTCCACCCTACCTTGGAAGGGTGTTAATGGTGGCCCTTTGCTCTCTATTTTCAGAGTTGAAAATGGCAAAAATGTAGCCAGGGTCCTATCTGCTTATTAATAGGCAAAAGAATCAGAGACAAGAAACTGTGGTTTACACAACTCGAGAAGAAATAAGTGCTGATAGTTGCAGCACATTTATGACCTAAAAAAATAGTATTCAAACTTGACGTTTTTGTATCATCTTTAGCAACTTCAGAATGCTTTCATATGTGTATTACTGAAGTGTATTTATGGCCTTGCCCTTACATTCTGGGTATCAAGGGCCAGTTTTCGCTTGCTCACCTGCACACGTGAACTCTGGGAACACACACACTCACACACACACTGTGAAGCCAGCCACCTGGCGGGCGGGTGGTGTACATTTGGGTACACCCACCACAGTTGGGTGAGGTACATTTCACTTTCATCTTCCCTAAAGGTTTACTCACCCCAGATCCAGCCAAATAGAGTTTGTGGTCTACGACCATTCCACCCTGAACACGCTGACCTGGGAAGCTAAGCAGGGTCTGGCCTGGTTAGTACTTAGATGGGAGAAAATGGAGTTTGCTGTAGTTTATGCTTTATATATTGTTAATCCCATTCTCCACCCAAAAAAAGCGTTCAGAATTTACCTGCTTGCAAATTACCCGAGTGTGTTGAACAAAAGCAAATAAAGATTATCCTCTCCCCTTGTTCTATACCCCCCAACAAATCCCCCTGAACAACCCCACCCGCCCCCAACTTGGCTTGGCACTCCATGCTCTAAGGAAGGGCAAATTTTTACGTGACTCTCATGATCCCCTAAGATTATGAAAACATTGGCAAAGGCAGAGCACTGTCACCTGAGTTCTCCCTGCCAGGTAATGGGGCTCCAAAGGGAGGTTGGGGGAGAATCCTGTTGTAGCAAAGATTCTGGGGAACCTGATGGCTGGACTTCCTTGTTGAGAAGGGAAGGTTTGGAAAAGCAAGCCAGTTTGGGGTCAGTAGGGAAAGAGAAGTCATTTCTTTTAGTGTCTTCCTTTTGCCTCAAGATGGTGTTTTCTCTAGGATCTGCCCCAGCCCACGTGCTGGCTTTGCCCCACTGGCCTAGTGGAGATGGAAGAAGAAGCCTTAAGCTCTCCTTCTTCATTTTCCTGCTCTTTGGCACATCCTTGTGCCTCAGCAGTGCACTGTGGGGAACACAGCACAGAGGGAGGAAATGGGGCCTCAAGGATGAATTTGAAGCCACCCCACCCTCAGCCTTCCCTCCTACACAGAGGGGTCCAGGACCCTGCCTCTAACTGCCCCCTGCAGCCGCAGCAGAGATAACAGTGTCTGTCCTCCCTGTGCCTCTCATCTCTGCCCCAAGCCAGATGATGTCCCCAAAACACATGGCTTCACGCAGCACAGCAGGGACCCAGCATCACCACTCTAAGATGGGAGCACCAAGACTTCCTCCCCCATGGGCATTTATGTTTAAAAACCATGATGTCAACACGTACAATAAAAACTGCTTCTTGTCAGATACATCTTTACTCAAGTCCCTAAAGAAATTTTTTTTTTTTGCACACACAATTCATGTTAAAATGTCTTCAAGCCTAAAGGAGTCAGTAATAAACTCCAACGTTATGAGTTTGTTTACTCTGGGTGCAGAGAAAGACGTCTTTTGTACGCAGCCTGGTTTATAGGATGCCCCAGGTCAAAAGTTAACAAACTTTGGAAAAACAGTCTTTCATAAAAGAAGAGGAAAAAATAGCATACAGTATTCTGTTTTCCTATTAAAGTGAGGAAAACAAAGGAGTAATCAGAACTATAATTTATGGGAAAGGACGCAGGCATCCATCTGCTTTTATTGAAAAAATATCCTGCAGATGTCGGGTCTAATTATGAATCTGCCATTTTCTGGTTGAATAACTGTGGTGGAATCTCAGTCCCCGATCAGTATGCTGGTGCTGTAGCACAACAAAATATAATTATTTAATTGATCTTTAGACACCTATTATTTTCATGTAGATGAGGGAGCTTTCTGCATAAGGGCTGTTTTTCTGGAGGTGAATGTTTGAATACTAAATTTTGGTTTCATTTCCCACAGGTTCACAACAAACAGGATTCCTAAATGCTCTTAAGGACAGTCCTGCGAGATATCCTTTCTGGTCGTTGTGTTTTTCACAATGCTAACGTGTTCAGTATTGGACTGACCTCCTCAACTACCTCATCGTCCGTGCCCTGGCTTTTCTTCTCGGAACTCGTAGTTTCTTGCATTCTGTAAATCCTCCAAAAATCTCCCCGTATTCACTTGCATGCGTTGTGGTGTCTGAATGCTTGAACCTCAAAGTGACTCATTTAGCTCTGTTTAAATCAAAGCGCTCTTTAGCTGGAAAGCCAAGTGTAAATTCTTGCCCACCCCAGGAACCTGCATTGATATGTGTTAAGTCAGGCTGGTTTGGGTAGAAGGAGGGCTGCAAGGTCCAGTCCACCACATTTTGATCAGGAGGTGGTCCCTGCAGTGTATTTATAGATGCCTGTGTGTGGGTTGCCTTCTTGGTACGCAGTCACCAGATGGGAATTCTCTGACCCTCTATATGGATTCCATCTGGGAATCTCGTTGGGCGCCCCTCCAGACAGTCTGGATGACCTATATTGTTTCTAGGAACAGAACACCTTTTCTCAGTCTTGAATGGACTAAAGGTGGCCAGTCTCAGGCCATACAGATTAATCCCGTCCTGCCAAACAGTATATATGGGCGTGTACCACACTTATTTTGAACTTCTTGAAAGAAAAATATTCACCCATGATGCGCTTGAATGGGCTCCCCGCCTCACCCATCCCCCTAAGTTTCACATTCATTGTTGTAGCGCTGGCCCACTGGACCCATTGACCTGGCTCCATCTGGGACCCAGCTCCCTTTCTTCTTCACATAAGCAAGTAGACTGGACTTGAACTTCTCAGTACTCCCAAAAATAATCTTCATCTTGTGGTAGAGAATTCTTAAACAATGAATGAAGAACTTGATGAAGATGTATGTATCACGTACAGCATTTAGTTAGTAAGATAAGCTGGCTCACGTCCCTGGGAACTGGTGTGTGGGTGGTGGTAGTGTTATTAAGATAGAACTGACAACAAATGTGGTCTTATAGATATTTGCATAATATAAAGTATCTCTTTTTTGGTGCCTCTGTGTTCATAGGCAACGTAGAACGTTGGTTGCAAGTACAGATCCTATAGTCGACTAATCTCTTAAAAGGGGGACAGGCGACATATGGAAGATATACAAAGGGGGCTTGGGTCCTGTCTTCTATTAAGGATCTGGGAAGCAAGAGTTAGCTAGAAGTTATCCAGAAGGAAAGGTGGTCCTGAGAATGGAATTTTCAATGTTTGTGGCTGCTAAGAACAGGTCTCATGAGAAATGTCTCTCTTCATCCCTGTCCCCAGTCCTGCCAGGGTGACACCCTCCACCATCATCTCCTCCATGCCCTTCTATTTTCAAGGCCTGTTGCTTTGGCATATCTTACAGTCAAGCCTTGTCTTTTCTTCCCAGAAGAAGAGGCTTATCTGTCTTTCAGGAAGTTGGTTACATCATGAAAACACGCTGGTCATGTTAAGTTTTATACATGCACCTTAGACCGGAACCAAGGTCTGGGCTACCGGCTGGAATGCTTTCTGAAGCCTCGAGAGTGTGGCAACCTGAGCCACCTCCCGTCCTCTGTCCCTGGCACCTGTGACCATTCTGACCCCTGGATGTCTGTGCAGAATGCATGTGGAGCATTTCAGACAATGAGAGGTATCAGTGACAGGGACCCCTCTCGGTGGGGAGGGGAGGCAAAAGCCCACCTGAGACCTGGGGGATTTCAGCTGCCCCATTCTTTGGGGCCTGCAGGCTACCTCCTGCCCCATGTGGCTCTCCTGGGTGCCACCTTTGGGCACAGCGGTCCCCTCTCTAGCAGACAGCATGCACCTCTTGTGTGTGGTTTGTGCTGTTGGGTCTTCGTGACACCTACTACAGGCCTCCCAGCTCGTGGATCTTATCATCTCCCAACCCCAGAAAGAGTCACAAGGAAGGACCAGATTGTGGGTCCTGGATTCCTGCTGCCTCACGATGAATGAGGTCATTTCTTGTAAATGAAGTCTGAGGTCATTTCTTTTAACGCTTTTGTGTCTCAAGTTTTTGACCTGCGAGAGTCAAGCATTACGTACTTGACATGCTATGGTGACGAGACCAATTATATGGGATATCAGCGAGAACACCCGACACCAAAGCATCATCTGCACGCATGGCAGGAGCGATTTCATAGAAGCTTCTTTTTTGTGGCAATATGTGCAACGGGCAGGCTCTGCTAGAACCTTCTTTTAGGGCACACATGTCTGCTCATTCTCATGATTTGGCTGTGCCCATAGTGTGTATAATCAAGAGCACTGTGTTCCCCAGGAAGGGGAACAGACAAACGTTGTTGGTAGAAAGGGTAGCATTTTGACCTTGCTGGATAAACTATTCGCATGGAAAGGAGAGGAAAGCGAGAAATGCCCCTACTAGGTTCAGAGCAGATTTTAGCTTGTTTTCCCCCAAAATATCATGCTCAGGTAGAGGTCAAGAGTTTTCGGGAGGGCCCAGGTCGTGAAAACTCCCAAGCATCTCAGCCGCTGCCTTTCCAAATGGTGTTGTCACCTCTAGGTGCGGAGGTTTTCCCTTGGTGGGTGTTACCAGGCGTGTTCTCCACGTTCAGGAGCTTGGGAGCCACGTGGCCCAGTCAGAGCCAGTGGGGGCGACAGCTGGCTCTGAATGCGAGTCAAGCCCCTTACAGTGGCTAGACAGGCCTGCAGGGCATCCTGCCTCCTCCAGGCCACAGTCTTTCGTAACAGGCTCCAGCTTGCACCAGGCTGTATTTTAGAGGCTTAGAGCAACACAAATTTACTGTTTCGCAGTTTTGTGGGTTGAAAGTCCAGCAGGCTTGGCTCATTTCTGCTCTGGGTCCCGCAGTGCTGAAATCAAGGTATCAGCCTGGACTCTCGTCCGGAGGCTCCAGAGAGAATCCTCTTTCAGGCTCATACGGGTGGTTGACCGAGTTCCCAGGGCATAGGACTGAGGTCCCATCTCCTTGCTCCGTTCTCTGATTCATGACTTCCTTGCTCTTCTAAGCCAGCAATTGTGGGTCAGGTCCCTCCCACACTTTGAAGCCCTCCCGCCTCTCTTCCGCCCATCTCTCTGACCTCAGCCAGAAAAGCTCTCTGTTTTTTAAGAGTGGCTGCACCCTGAGAATTCAGGATTATCTTCCCATCGCAGGGTCCATGACCTGCAGTCTGCAACTCCCTTGTGCCATGTCGGTAATGTATTCGGAGCTGCCAGAGATTAGGACATCTCTAGGGAGGCCACTGCTCTGTTGGCCCCACAGGCCTTTGGGGAGGAGGTACCCTGGAGTCAGGCACTCAAGTACAGGTGGATTTGAGAGGTTTCTCTCTTACACCCGTCCATGCAGCTCACTAGCAGTACAGCTCAGCTCTGAGTCTATGTCTGTCTCGCCATTGTCCTGTGAGTTTGTGAGTGAAGTGGCTTAGCCATCCAAACTCACATGTGGCTCTGTCCAAACAATTGGTTACTATCATCTACGTCTAAGACATTTACGATGATGGATATATGAAAAACCAAATCCTCAACTCCTCTTCAATCTTAGAGAAATATTATAAAGGAAATTTACCTGGTAATTCTTCCTCTGCAAAAGGAAGTGGGTGGCCCTCCTTCTCCCCCAGGACTAGGGGAAAAGCAACCACGATGTCTGGGTGAGGAGAGAGCTTTATTTAGCAGGGTCGAGCTGTCAGCACAGAGCCCGATGCGGGGCTCGAACCCACAGACCGCGAGATCATGACCTGAGCCAAAGTGGGACGCTTAACCGACTGAGCCACCCAGGTGCCCCTGAGGTCAGGTTTTATGGCACCTCTTGATCCACTGTCATTTTGGGCTCCTGCCTGTTAAAAGGTGACCTAAAGCTGAAGCCAGAATATCCCAGGGTAGCTACCGCAGCTGATATAAAGATTATCTGATAAACCCCCTCCCTCCCATTTCTCTCCCAGAGAAAATCAGGCACCAAGAGCAGGACTCTGGAGAAATCTGACAGCACAGAAGCCCATGGGGAAGAGATGGGCAGGGAAGGGATAGGGGAAGTCTGAGCAGCAATCCCAACTTCGATCTTTATTCTTTCTGGAAGTAGTGGAGAATTTCAGGAACATCAGACGTACCCACACTAAGACGTGAGGTCCTGGGTTTTTTTTTTAATTCCACAGAACAGAAATTGTTTCATGTGCCACCGAACACTCCTCCCCCAATCGGTATGACTACTTACAGGCTCTCTGTGCTGACAGCGTCTTTCCTGTTTTAAGTACATGCTTTGCAGAAGAATCCCTCCTTCTATCGAGTGGGTCTATAAAGAAGTGTTGAGGTCTGATGATGTATCAGGAATCTGTATTCCAGAAGAAAAAGTATGCTTCAGGTTCTATGAGGTTGTGATGTGTTTTTGAAAAAATACTGAGTTCTGGTTACTAGTGATAATGTATATATGATGAGTAAGGCTGGATCCCTGTATGCCAGGGAGTAAGGCATCCCTGGATGCCTGTTTGGTACTTTGGGCTCCTGCCTTTCCTGTGGACACCTGTGTGGCTCTGGAAGGGGCACCGGGATGGCCAGGGAGGTGCTTCTGAGGGACAGCTTTCAGCTCACTAAGAAAGATGTGCTCACCACTGGGGCAGCTCAGAACCAGCATGGCCAGGGGAAGCGATGAGATCACAGGCCCTAGGGGTGGTCAAAAAGAGGACGGACCACGCCTCCCTACATGGTTCTAGCATCAGATAATGTTATGACCTCCAAGCCTCCTTCCACTGCTGAGGCCCTGGGAGTCTCTTTGGAGGTGGTTGATTTCTGATGGATGAGACTGATCCGTGACATTTCACACTCATGACAACTGCTCTCTGGCCGATGGCAGTGTGGCCCACAGCTCGTCCTCTCTAGACCTACAGTCTCTGTGGGGCAAGAGTCTATACGGCACCAAGCTCTTAAGACAAGAGGAGGTTTTCTGGCAAACTGCCTGAGCACAGGACCGGAGTCCAGTGTAGCCTCTGCACGTGACCTGCTGACTGTTCTCGGGCAAGAG